ACGAGGATGAGGGAGTATCGATTGCATAATGAAATAAATATTCGATCAATTAACTGTTATTTAGTACCATATGCGATCAATTAACTGTTATTTAGTACCATATGCGATCTATAAACAGAAGGTCTATTACTTAATAACTATTTAAACACCTACCAAATAGTATAATATATTTTTTCATTCTTTATAGAACACAACGAATAGAAAATAGTAATTACGAGTCTTTATAGTTAGTTTTGCGAATAGTAGATACACGAGCGTCATATTTAGTATAATTTTCGAGAAATAATTACGCAATATAGCGATTTGCAGTGAATATAAAGAGATGTACGCAGTGTAAAGTGGCCCAAGCGGATATTAATATGAAGGATGATGTGGTTTGTCGTAACATCGTCTCGTAGCCCGGTCACTCTTACTCACGTACTTGCTCAACTACCGCCTAGGAATACGAAAGAATCTTAAATATGTTCATTGTAAAAGTGGGGGTCATCGATGAGCTCGAAGGCACTTCTCTTCGGCTCGTTTCATTCATGTTTAGTACTGTGATCTGGTAGTGCCAGTGAAGCGAATCGGTCTCCGCACGGGATTTACGTTCAAACGACTAAATTTCTAACATTTTGGAAACGACACGATTTGTTAGGAACAATCGTACCGTAGTTTAGTGCTTGGGGATGACAATTAAATGACTCTCCGATTGTTTAGATGCAAAGAATAACATTTAAAAAGTGTCGGTTGGGCCAGTCTTTTGGATGTAACGATTACATTTATGCTGAAATTATAGTGAAACCATAGTGCGAATAATTTAGTTAAAATGGAAAGTTTTTCGGTGTTTTTAATAGTGAATTGTATGGCGTCAAGTTGACTCTTCGATTGTAACAATGCAAAACTATAGATCAGTGGTCAGCAAGGTACATATTTGTGTGTGTGTGTGTGTATATATATGTTCACGAAGTAAACGTACTATATATTTATGTTATTATTTATATATTTTACACACACACACACACACACACACACACACATATAGTATGTTCACTCTGTGAATAAATGCTATATAATTATGTAATTGCAAAAGAATTACTTTAAGGCACAAATAACGGTTTTATAAATTTATTTCTATATTTTTTCACTTATGTCCTAAATTCCATTAATGCTCGTGTATGTGTGTGCGTGTATGCATGCGCGCGGCGGCGCATATTCTAGCGACGTCATTGCTATATTTTCACACAACATGCAACAAATCGCATTTTCTAAAGATATTACATATGATTTATGAAAATGTCTAGGGGGCTGGGACGTGAACTTAGACACTAGCGAAAGTCCGTCTTTCGTATCTTAAAGAAGACTTTCAAAGGCTTTGTCGACTCTTCTCTTTTTCATTTACTTGGTGACGCTAGCAAAATTATGCGAAAATATTGTTCGCTGTTTGTCGATATAAGTGAGGAAATATAGAACACACTCGTCTCCACCATTTCTAGCACAGTCTTCGTTAATTAGATACAAAATTTAATTTATAAATTAACGGCGAGAAAACGAATAAAAAATGTAAATAGGTAACTGTACATTGGTCAAAACGAGATTAGCAAAATTAATCGAGCGATTGACTTTCTACGTCGTGATGGGTATAACCGTTAAATAAATGAGAATCTGCTCGCGACCACAGCGAAATGGTCTTCTCGCCGGATGTATGCTCAAGTAACGACCAGTGTTCGTCAAAGTTTGCAGTTCTCTCTAATCGAGGACTCGGAAGGCCTGCTGAGAATATCCGCGTTGAAGGAGCCGGGGAAGCACGTCGATGGCGACCGGAAGTCTCGTTCGACCACATCAAGGAGCGAACGTGATCTTCCAACATGGAATAATCAACGACTGAAGCATACTATTTACATATTTACGAAGAAAATCGAAAAAGGATCTGCAATTTTCGCAACGCCCGCTGATAACTCGTGAAAATCATGAAGGTCGCAGTAATTCATTTGCTTCTAATCATCGTTGCTCCCCATCTGGCAGAATGCGTCTTCTTAATGGACTTTATACGTAGCATAATTCAAACAGGCAAGGTAAGCTGTCGGCATTAAAACGACAAAGTATTAAAAAGATAATAAATTCCACGCACGTACCGATCGTCGCTGCCGATTTATCTCTTTCTCTACATATTAATCGTTCACATATTCAGTTGCCTAGCCGATGAGTAGTTGAATTTTTTTGGAGCAGTAGGAAAAGTTGAATAACGACGTCAAAAGCGGCGTTACCACATCATGTGAAACCGGAAGGTGCCGGCGATACGCTCGAAAAGAAGAGTACTTTGCATTCTGAGCAATCGGAGAAAGGCGGGAACGTTTCTTTTCGTCGGCCTCGTTGGCCTGCGGCAAAACTTTGCGCCGTGTTAAGACGATCTTAAAATTCTCTTACTAGTGGCTAGTGGCAGGATGCATCCTTTGTGCGTCCACCATTCCTTGTACTTTTCGATTGCAACATCCTCCTTTGACACTAGGCGCACATACACGTTCCACACTCTGTTCTCTTTTGACAAAAATTCAAAAATAGATATTCAGAATTTATGACGAGGAATCATTATATTTAATCAATCGACTGATCTTAAAAACTAGTTAGATTGAACAACAAGTTAGATGTATAAACGTAATATTTAGGTAATATTATGTAATATCTAAATAAAACCATTGATAGAAACTTCTAACGTTCTGACGTTTCGAAAGTAAAGCTCGATAGAAATAAAATATTAGGTATCAAAGGCAATTCAGGGCGTGTCACGCCTTTTTTGGCGGCACCATTGGAGAAATTATTTATATGCGTCGATACTTAAGTCGCGACGAGACGCGATGGAATGCAAATGGAAGAAAGCAACAGTGTAAACGTGTGTCGTTTGTTAAACGCGCTAATCGACAGTGACTTAAATTTCTCGTGGCGAAAAGTCGTCATGCTTGAAAGGTGCAGTAGGATGATTCATTGAAATTTCGTAATTTCCAGAACAAGGTGGATGAAGGCGGAATATCGTATCCTACAATATATAATGTGCGAAGACAGCCGATAATTTCCGATAGCATCCCGTTTCCTTGCAAAGTGCATTCTGGCAGGTACAATTTTGCGTTTCCTTCTCTTAATACTCTCCATAATTAAACTGGTCATTTTTTGACATTTCTTATTTTATAAAATTGCAATAAAATAGACAATGCTTGAGAGATAATTTTTTGTTGGAACATTTATATTCTACGAGAATGTTTTCTCAGATAAGTTACTCATTTTTCAGATTAATTTGTGGTTTGATGTTCAAAAGATTACTCTGCCCTTTTCTCAGATCGCCGTCGATACCCGACAGCGTTCATCGTTTGAGACCAGGCGACATCGACGTAATCGGTGGTCTCGGCGATTCCTTGGTTGCTGGAAGCGGTGCACTGGAAGAATTTGCTGTGGGAACTTTCATTGAGGCACGTGGGGTTAGCTGGTGCGTCGGAGGTCAGGCTAACTGGAGGCGGTTCTTCACACTTCCCAATATTTTGAAGGTATAAGTCGTATCGGTTCTTTGTTATGCGTCACGTTTAGCGGCAAAAGAGAGTTATTTATACGGGTTGCCGGGAAATCTTCATCTTCACTCAACGCGACAGGTGTTCAATCCGCGGTTAACTGGGTATGCCACGGGGACAGGTGAATTTATCTCGACCGCAGCGAGACTGAACGTCGCCTTCCCAGTCGCCGCTACCGAGGACGCCTTGCAGCAAGCGAGAATCTTGATCCAGAGAATTAAAAGTGACCCGAAGATAGACGCGAAAAGACAATGGAAGGTAACGAATCTCCTTCGTCGCGACGTGAAATTCTCATCGTGTAAAAGAGAAAAATAACGTCGTGGAAAATTCGATCTAACGAAATTCATTCATTTATTTTCCAGCTCGTCACGATTCTATTTGGAGCTAATGACATCTGTTCGGCGCAATGTTACAACCCACAGCAGTTTTCGCCGATGCGTTACGCCCTGCATCTACGAAAGACGCTCGACTTTCTAAGAGTCGCCTTGCCCCGTACGCTGGTCAATCTAGTTCCAGCCATAGGTGACAGCTCGATGTTTAATTTAGCTTCTTGCGCACTAACACGGACGAATGTACGATGATTTATTTTTCGGCAGATGTCACGATTTCGGTTAGAGTGACGCGAGGTGCCATGTGCAATATATTGCATCCTCTATACTGCGCTTGCATGCACAAAGGTCGTCAACCGGAAATCGCCGCGTCGAAAATGTCACAGCTCTATCAACAGGCTGCTGAAGCACTAGTACACTCGGGAAGGTACGTTTTATTGTTAATCATTCGATCACGACGGCTAATTTCCGATATCCGTTCTTGCCAACGTTTTCGCAACACTCGATATGGAGTCGATGAAATGTGGTTTTCTTGTTTTCTCTACAGATACGACGATTCCCCGAATTTCACGGTGGTTTTACAGCCGTTTGTTAAATTATTTAATGCACCCAATGCAGATCCTACTCGCGCATCGCCGATTGACTCCAGTCTGGTTACATATGACTGTTTCCACTTTAGTCAGAAAGGACACGCGCTCGGTGAGAAACATTAACTCTTGCATCGTTTATTGGGTAGATTGGGTCTGTTGAATATTTGCAAGCACAAAAAATAATATTATTTATTTACTTTAAATCAGACTAACGTTGCAAATCCACCAATTAATATCATTAATATCATAACTGTTGCTTACTGTTATCGTCTTATTGGCGCCTGTTGGCAACAGAAAGAACATTGCGGTATTGAGATGGCTGCATCCCACTAGGCGACTAAATCATGAAATCTACATTATCAAATGTGTCGAACGCACAATGGAAAGTTCGATAAAGTCATTTTCTACACGAAAATATCAGTCTTCTCGTTGAAGTACGAAATATTGTCAGTTTGCAGAATGCTTTACTGCTGATTGCTATCGTTTGCAAAGTAACTTACTTACATTACATGAACGATATTATCTGTCACATATAATGTAATGTTTACTCTCTTATTATATAAAGTAAATATCAATCGTTTTGAAAATTAAAATTTCTTCTACATTTTGCGATATGAACGGTTGAGTCAATTTCTCGAAGTTACTTCCACTGATATTGACGATGATATAACGATGTTCAATTTGTGAACTGATCCAACATCTCGCGTAAATGTAATGTCAGTAATGTCAAAGACATATAACGACGTATTTATGTGAATACAAAATTAATATTCTGATATTGGAAGCAAACGATAAATATTATGTTTAGAAATTAGTCTTTGTAAGCCGTTATATAACAAAACACTTCCTTAGCGACAGAGATCTATATATTCGAATGAAGGTCAGCTAGTTTGCGTCAATTAACAATTGTTCACCGGTTTACACGGTTAAAAATAAACGAATAATACGAGCGACGCCTTCACGCGCGGCACGGACAATAAAATGATCGTCGCTCTCTAGCAGCTGGCTCACATTGTCAATGTGAGTGGGCGCGCTCGCATTCGCGTTCATTAGTTGCGCTAAATGGTTAAGACAAATCATTAAGATCGTTCCTTAGATGGTGTCAACAAGAGTCACGGTGAAAGAAAACGTCATACCAGCTCGTCAACCGTCGGCGTATTCTTTCGCGAAAATGACAAAGCAGTGAACACTTAAGTGTATTCGTTTGCTTCTTTTTTAATTACAGGCGCGAATCTTCTGTGGAACAATATGTTGGAGCCGGTCGGAAATAAGACAGAAGTGGGCTTGCCGGGAATCCTGCAGAAAGTCCTCTGCCCTACGGAGAATACTCCTTACATCTTCACAAACGTTAATTCGCAACTTTTCCGAGCGACCGGCAGACAAGATGGAATTTTGCTCAAATAGCGAAAGGATACGATCGAAAATCAATGGGATTCCTGTAATTAATGGAGAGAGAAGAAACACCTTGTAAATCGTCCTTGTAAATCTATATACTATATTTCCTCGCAACGATTTGCTTTGCAAAATTTCGAAATTTGCATTTAAGAACGCGTAAAAAATTTGCGTAACTTTTCCGGCTGTAATTCGAAGATATTTCAAGCAAGTTATGGCAGGTTCAAAATCTAAAGTACATTGGACAAACATCCGGATAACAGTGAATCACGAGAAATGCGGGGAATTTTCAATATTATTTGAATATACATATCAGGAAATATCTGATTTGCATAATGGGCTTCCCCGTATCTTTCGCCAAATGTGTCTCTTACATTTCAACGAAGAGCACCTTTCTAAAAATAGGCAATTTTTTGGAATTCATATCAATGAGATGGCTTATACTAGTTGATTCTGTTTGAATATAACTGCATGATTAAATATTAATTTACGGAAGAAAAAAAGCATATCTCTTTGAAATGAGACAAGTCATGTAAGGCGATTTTTCATATTTTTGACAACCGTGTCATCGAGCTTCGCTCGGACAAGGAAGTCGATACTCCTGTCACAAGGCGATTGATCTTTCTTAACGAGATGACTTGGTCAAAGAAAAGAAATGACCTATATAAATTTAGATGACTTTCCTATATATCTTAAACCCGTTTTTACTGCTTTGCGAAAGTTTCCGTTTATTCGCAAACTTTCTCGTAAGTATTCGTGGTAAAGTTTCGGACAGAAGAATGATGTATTGTCTCGCAAACTAGATACCGGGTACGTCATCAATTTCCATATACAGTGGGAATAAAGATAACGACAAATGATGGCGCGTTGATTAACAGAGCAAGCTCACCTTTTATGTAAACTTTCGAGCAGAACAAAAAAAGTTGCGTTGATTGGAATGACAGACACACGAATGTCGGAAGTCGCGTTCACACTTGACATTCTTTCGCGAAAATCATGCCCATGTCAGAGAGATGCATGTTACACGTATGTAAAAATATATCTCGAGGATATTTGTGCCGCGTTGCATCATACGTGACGTGCAATTGCGCCAAACGCTAATCTAAGTGGACACAATCTCGACCCCATCTTCATGATTGTCCGGAAGAATTGCTCCTGCGGCGATTACAATGGAAGAAATCTTCGCAAGAGATGTCGGAGAAACAGACTGAAGATGTATCGTTGAATTTTCTCCCCGAGATATTCGTTCATACTTGCTAACGTCATCGACCTTCTAAATTTACATCTAGCCCACATGTTAGGAAATCGGCCGTGATTCTAACTGTTATAGATATCTCCTTCTAACTTAACTCTCGACCTGGACGTCTTGAGACAGCAAATTTAAATTTCTTTAGGATAATTTTCAAGTGTAGAAGTGTCACTAAGATCTTGTGGCGAATTAGAAGCGCAGTTAATAACTAGAATCGCTGTTAGATAAGACAAGATTCTTAGAAATGAGTTTCGCATAATTCATCACTCGCTTTATCCAACGATCTATAACGTCTATTCTAGTATTTACTGACAATTGATCGTCGCATATTTCCATCGTGTGTTTTGTACAAGGTGTTTCAATATAAAGAGAAATATCTAAATCAAAAACATCTCCTTTATTTTTAATGATGTGAGAAATAGAGGACAATTTGAATAGTTCCAAAGGAGGAATATTATATATAGTAGAAATTAGAAGGAAAATTTTTTTGCAATCATTTTTTTCGAAATTTTTTAAGGTCCTGGTATCTTTTGTAGAAAAGATGTATTTTTTTCCATTTTGCAGCGAATGTTGAAATGCATTGAAGCATGTCTCAATTATAATCCTCAGAAGATTTTGAAAATAAACAAAGCGGTCAAATTCCAAAACAGTGTTAGGATGGTACTCGAAAAATTGAAGAAAAAAGCAAAAATTTTTCTTTTTAAGGTATTCTTCCTTCAAACCTAACTCTACACTCTTTAAACATTTCTGGTATCATTAGAAACAAAGAAGATATTTAAGTGCTGTCCTTATGAGACGCCCTATATGTGAGCGTAATGTAATTGATAGTTTTACACCTGTTTTTAACGTTACATCTCATGTCCCGCGGGTGACGTATACGCACTTGCACATATGCAATCGCACAATTCTCATGATCGACTAAAGAAATTCAAAATTCACACCTATACGAGAATGTAATAACGGATATTGATTGTTACAGTCTAATTATCTAAAATTGCCCAACTCGCACAACGTATTTTATAATCGAGTGCGCTGTAATTAGCAAACGGTAGAGAAAAAGCCATTCCGAATCAAGCAAAATTAATGCACTCGTCGTAACTCAGATTTCTTTTACGGTAAAACCGTCAGCACTGTTATGTCAACACAGTGCCGTGTTTTTTACCGAGGAATAAAATAAAACATGGAAATTGAACTACTCGTTTTGAATACAGATGAATCATTCCTCCTCGACCGCTGTCGGAAGAATGTCAGCGAAAGTATTCGCGAGTGGGATAACGAATGTGCGGACTTTGGGAGGACAATACGGAAGAAACGGGCCGAACTATGCCGGGAATATTAATCGACTTTACTGCTAAGATCGCTGTCGCAGGAATTATTTCGGAATAATTATACAGGAAATCGACCATAACTTTTCTCGATTTGGTCATGTAGTCAATTATAAACATCCGTAGTTGATTACGTATAGAACATGAAATTCCAGCTACAATAATAACGTATCGTTACGACAGTACAGGTTGACAAAAGAAAATTTTTATCAAGTAATCAAGTGTTTCTTATGGATTTTCGCTGAAAAAAGCAGGCCAAATTGCTACATTAAGTTTAAAAGTTGATTCGAATTTCATGTTGAAAAATCAGCGATTTATCATAAATTATTTTCTTTGAATCGCTTTTTATTTTCAAAAATTCAAATTAAGTTTGAAACTTATTGTGATGGAACAATTTGGCCAGCGACATTGTTAGTTGTGAACGAAAATCTATAAAAAACATCCACTCTGATTAAAGTTACTTGACGAAAAATTTGCTTTGTCGGCCTGTGTTCTCTTTCTTATCGAAGTAGATATACTCAGTAAAAATAAGTTATCCGACCTGTACATCATCAGATTGTTGATTTTGGCAATATCCACATTTGATAAAAAGATCATGATATCGTAATATCGGTTATGCTTGGTTTGAAATAAAACCAATTTATGATATAATGCCGAATCATCTCTTATAATTGAAGACACGTGCTCACATGTCTATTTGTAAAATATATGTGTGTAATAAAAAGAACTAATTATACTATGTCACAAGGCAGAATGCAAGTTTAATTCGCTTTAGATGGTTCTAAGACCGAACACACATGAAAGACTAGCAAAAATCCTACCGAGCTTAATGTTACTAATTAAATCAATCGTGACGTAAATCCCGTGTATAATCCGCTGTTAGACGATACCTATGCATTATCACGTCCAGAGTAGCGGTGGAGGATCAAACGAATTGAAATGCATTTATCCATCCATGGAACTTCTGCTAATGTTTCTGCATTGCGTGAAATATTTTCAATTATTACATTAAGTCACGGAACTCGATATGGCTGTCGCGTAGTTCCCAGGGATTTTTAGATGCTTGATCAATTAATGTAAACGTTACATAAGCAAATTCAACGGGGGTTATCACCATCGGCCGCGACATCGTGAAACGTTCGATTGGGTAACTGCGCTCTGGTGCGACTTGGTCTATCTCGAGATAAGAGTCGTTCGGTGAGAGACATATATGTCGGCCTATCGATTGCATATAAAGAATTACAAAAAAAACTATTAAAAAAAGTGCTATAATATCGGAAATATATGCAAAAATTGCATTCTTTCCTTCCACTGTCCTTCGACTTCTGGTCGCACTCCAATCAGGACAGTCATTCTCTTCCTCCTTTTACCGGGCTCTAAGGCGTTTCTTTTTTAGTCGGTAACTCTCACAGCAAGGCCGACCGGAACATTATGCTGTAGCATCGACAAGTCATGTTCAATGCGTTCGATTGCCCAGTATCTGACTTTGAATGAGTGAAAAAGCGCATCGCGCTCATTTGATAAAGCAGGTGATCGAAAATTCGCAACAATTAAAGACACATAAAGAAGAGCGAACATAATAAAAGGAATTAAAAACAAATAAATATATAAATAATAAAACATTTTATGTCTCGTCGCGATGTACGTTCTACATGAAATTACGCTGTTGACACCAGACCATCTTCACCGAAACGAAATCGCATCTCAGCAACGACGCCTGATAATGAATTCACGATATATCCCTCCAAATTGCGCGATTCGATTTCTGACGAATGTTTGCGTATTTGAGGTGGCTCAGTAAAATCAGACACGCAGAAACAAAACTACGCATTACGCTGGCGCGATACGATGTTTACATGAAAATTAAAACGGAGAAATCTAAGCCAAGCTACTAGAAATTGGACTTTCTTCGACGCAGATGAAAAAAATGTCTGCAATCCGATTCTACATTAAATCAATATGTTCTATTATTAACTACACTAGATTCAATGACGAGTACGCAATAAAATTAAGAAGGGAAAAGGTACGAAGAACTTTTTGAACATTAAATATTGTTATCGGGGTAATTAATGGTAGTGAATTACATATAGCTTCTATATATATATATATATATATATATATATATATATATATATATATATATATGTACTCCAAACTAAATGATTAAACAAGTTGAAAATATTTTCAATACACATGACAGGTCGTATATACGTCCAAATTTTTTTTCATTTCATCAGTTAAGCTTCGTGTCAGCGATAACCTTCAGTCATGAAACGCACGGCATTGCATTTCTTTCTTATTAGTGACAGGGCTCAATGCGTTATAAGCGAGTTATCTCAATTGATGATGTAGCCATCTTTCAGTAGTTAGACATTACGCGGAATAATTGAAAACTATGATCTAGAATGCAACGAACAGGATAGAAGTCGCAAGAAAGTGTGGCGAAATCAAGTGGAAACATTTAAAATAAATATTTGGCATTTATTCGAGTTATCGTGTACAAAGTAACATAAATTACATGAAAATTGATGCGTGACAACGTAAACGTTGATGCTAATCGCCTATAGTAATGAATATCTAATACTGCTCTCTTGACTAGTAGCCTAAAATTGGCGGTCGCTCATCTGCGAGCAAAGGATCAGTTGTCCTTTCCGCCAGCCCTGCTAATCCGTGGGCTTTCCAATGAATCTTAATTCCTAATTAAAAAATATGGCACTGTAACGATCAATCACGATGACGGTTGGTCGCGACTGTGTTCGCTGGTAAACGCAATAGATGGTGGGCAAAGCCGATGCAAATGAGGATATTTGTTCGGTTGACACTGGCAGGCAGAATCTAAGGATCCAACGCGGAAGGAAGCCCGTGGCTTCTCTGGCGACTTGCGGAAACACTCCTCAGACGCCTCTGATGCCATCAAAATCCCTTCGGTCCTTTCGACTTCCTTGTTTCGAGTTTCTCAACGATGCCCTTCTATTGTGTTGATTAAGTCCTTCGTTTAATTCTGCATTACAAATCGAAAAGCGTGTGCCGGGAGCACCTTCCTTCTTCCATTAGTTGTTCATCTTACCGGGAAGAACTCGGACGAAGAGAACGGAAACCGGTTGGAAGACGCAGTGTGATGGTTAGGGACTGAAGGATGTCGATCACGGACGGTCATCAGCCGTGCAAAGACAAGACAGCGAGAATCCTTCTCATCCGACCGGCGAGGATCACTTCCTACCCCATTGAAGAGTTCCTCGATGACCGTGGAGCAAAGCGTGGCATCGACCCAGAGAACCGTGACTGCCCTTGGAACTATTGCTGCTGGAGCTCGAAACGCTCTCGGACCTTCTGATCGGCTTCTTCGTGGGGTCCAATAGACGATCCAGCATCTGGCGAATTGTGCTGTGCTTGCGGTTGAACGGATTGGTATACATATCCGATCCTTTTTGTGGAAGTCCTTCAAGTCAAGGTCTGCGAGTTTTGCTGGGATTCACGAGTTTCACACGTGAAACTCTCCGGATACTTTCGATGAACTTTCCGACGACTTTCTTCGTCAGGCGACACTTGGCACTCGTGAAACCACGTGACAGAGATATCAACGGTATCGCGTTGGCTGTGAAAGCTGGACCACTGCGTCGGTATCAGTGCTCGTGCTAACGTATCGAACGTCGCTCTGCGAATGCATGCGTAGGTATCAGCCGGTCGGCTTTTATACAGTTCGCCCCGCTCGGCGGCCTTCGATCCATCTGGTCGAGTCGTGCGTACGAGCGAACGCACGAGTATCAGTTGTATCGTAAGGACGAGAGACAACCCACGAGGGAATACCCACGTGCCGGCTCATTCGCAGTGTCAACTTGTTTTACGATGGTGAAAAAAAAAGGAACTCGTCTCTCTCTCTGGCTGGAACGCGACAGGACTGCTCAAGTGAGACCAACTCGTTCGGCTGTGATCCCTCAACAATTGGTTTGATATACTGTCTCTCAAAAATCTTTCTCTGCTTATATTTCACTGATCGTCCAGATTAAGTAGTAATAAGTTACGAGCCGTCAAAATATTAATATTCCTGTTTTATTTTGCAAACAGGAATCAGATAAAAGATGAAATGAAATCAAAAAAGATGAAGCAGACGAAATGCAAAAGATTCAAGTTGCGACCAACCGTTATCGTAATTGATCGTTACAATGCTATATTTTTTAATTAGGAATTAAGATTCATTGAAAAGCCCACGGATCAGCAGGGCTGGCGGAAAGGACAACCGATCCTTTGCTCGCGGATGAGCGATCGCCAATCTTAGACTATTAGTCAAGAGGGCAGTATTAGATATCCATTACTATAGGCGATCAACATCAACGTTCAGCATCAATTTAGAGCGCTCCATCCTTTCTCGATCATCCCGTTATCTTGATGTTATTGATTGAAGATGATTGTACGAAGTGTTTATTTTTGATGTTCTGACGATTATCGGTGTCAAAAAGATAAGTTTAACATGGTACATCGAAATGATCCCACGTCACTTGACCGTCTCGAAGAACTGCTTATAGAGCCAAAAAGATGAACAAAAAAAAGTAGAAGGTGCAAAATGACTCGTGTTATTTTGACAGTTCGTAAAACTGTACCGATTGCAGTCGTTCGCATTGCAATATTGCATTGCTGAGATCATTCTTCGTGTGTTGGCGCTACGACTTTGATAATCGCTGTGACTTCGATAATCGCCACGATGACTCGGATAACGTGCGGTTAAAAGTTTCGAATTGAGCCGAGAGAAAGAGAAGTCGCTGAGGCATATTAATGATGTCATAAAATATGACCTATGCTTTTCCCCATTTATGGTGGTTAGACGAAAAGATATCGTCAGAAGATCGCATTAACTCGTCGACAGGCAAACTTGTCGAGGTCGAAAATACAACTTTCTTCCGTAGGAAGAGGAAAGAAGAGACGACCGTCCAAAGCGCCAGAGAAAAATACTGACGACAACTCGTAAAATATCCTCGAGACTTCGTCCCTCGTTTCATTGTTCTTTTGGGAACAACGCGACAAGTATTTATTATCGTATGACGTATATGATAATAAGAAACATCGAATTATTTTCATGAAATGCGCGCGAGCAACGCGATAGTATCTGATACAGTCAATGAACGTCACAAACGTCACTTTATATTTCCCGTATTCTTTGGTCGCAATTATAAACACTTTTTACTTTGAATACACTTGTTCATTCGTAGCATCCAGAAGTTTCTGAAGCAAATATTAAACGTTGCCGTGAGGCATAAATCGAGATTCTAATGAGTATAAGGAATAATCGGAATAATAATATTCCATCGTTCATTTATTACTTGCGCGTTCATATTTGAATCTTTTTCAACAATTTATTTACTCAAACCAAAATGCCTAAAATTACCAAAATTTAACGTAATATTTATCGCAGTAAAACATATTCGTAGTTAAGATTTCCTATGACTTATCTGCATCGTTTGTGAGAAATTTGAATATCTTGAAATTTTTGCACATAATGGTAACCTTATGGTAGAAGCGATATAAATGACCACTAATGTAGTACAATTATGTATTTACTAATACTAATATATTAATAATAATACAAGTATGTACTAATGAAACTTTGTAATAAAAGTGATACTGTCTGAATAAAAAACTTAGCATTAAAAATGTTTAGTTATAAGCGTTTTTGTGTAATGATCGATTGTAGGCCACAAAACTGCTGTTTTATACTTTGCGTA